GTGGCCAGGGGGGCTGTGGACAACAGCTTGCTCGTGAGCTGCCCTGCCTTCCCCACCGGCTTCTACGATGTCCGGCCCCAGCAAACCAAACGGAAGAAACCACCAGCAAAGAAACTCATTTTGGAGCAGGAGGTGGAGAAGAGGGTGCCGCTGGGCGCTGGGAAGGGCTTTGGGGCAGAGCAGGACGGGGTGAAGGAGCTGGCTGTGCTGGAGGGACAGGTGCCTCCCGTGAAAGAGCAGCTCTTGGAGCCTGCCCCCAACCCGGCTGGGGATCCCCAGCCCAACTCCCTCCTGGAGGAGCTGATGAAGGAGGAGAAGGACTGGATGCACGGAGCGCAGGGGACCGAGAAGCCAGCGGGAGATGATCCTCAGCTAAAGGAGCACGACCCCTGCTCTGGAGGGAGGAAAAGCCCCAGTTCTTGTAGTACCTTGGACCAAAGCGAAGGGGAAGATGCAAGCAGAGGGAGCTCCCAGCTTAGCGGTGAGTGTCCGAGGGAGCACAGAGGGCCCCGTTGTGCTGCGGCCAGTGCCCAATATTGTCCCTCCCTCGGCCTGAGCCACCCTTGCTGGCTGCAGGGCAGGCTTGTCGATGGCCCAAGCCTCTCCCAGCAAGGGGAGTCCCTTGGGGACCTGGGAGGACTGAAGAGCAGAGGGCAGGGAGCTGGCTCTGTTCTGCAGAGCGAGCCGTACAGACCTGAAACGTGTCTGATGTGGGGCATAAGGGCACCTTGCTCATCGGGTCTTTGTTTTTTTTCTCTCTTTTTTTCCCCCCCCTCCTTTTTCAACTTCAGCAGTTGAATTCGCAGCAGCTCCCAACACCAAAGCGGAAGGTGAGTGGGGGACTCTCCCATTGAACACCGGGGGAACTGGCTAGTCTGGCCACAGCCAGACCTGCAGCTGGTAAGGTGGTTTCTGACCGGTGTCTCTCTCCCTGGCCAGACGACGATGCCTGGGATCTGATCACCTGCTTCTGCCTGAAGCCCTTCGCAGGGAGGCCCATGATCGAATGTAACGAATGCGCTACCTGGATCCACCTCTCTTGTGCCAAGATCCGCAAATCCAACGTGCCTGAGGTTTTCATCTGCCAGCGATGCCGCGATGCCAAGCAGGAGATTCGCCGCTCGAACCGAGCTCGGACGGTGCCCCGCAAGCGCTTCTGTGACTGAAGCTCCTCCAGAGCAGGGAGGCCGGGCGTCCCCTTTTTAAACTGAAGACTGTAGCCCAGTTTGGCTAGACAATCAATGCACAGTAATGGCAGGGGAGGGGCTGGGCCGGGAGGCTGGACTGTCCCCCTTCCACTTCTGACTCCGGGAAGCTGCCACGCGTGCCCTCCCTGGGGATCGCGTTGGCCACAGAGCTCGGTTACCCCAGAGGTGTGGGGGGGAGAGGAGGATGGTCCAGCCGCGCACTAGGTCACTTGGAAACATCTCTGTCCTCGCACAAAGCTGGCTCAGTGCCTTTCCCCCAGGGCAGCCGAGGAGAACCTAGTCCAAGTAGTTTTTCTGTGGTGTGGTGGAAGCTTACACTTATCCTAAGATGTGATTCCCCTTCCTCCTTTTTCCTCACCGTTTTCCTTTCCTTGCCTCAGACCTGCGGGTGGGCTGTGATGGCAAAGCCCTGGTGACCCAAATTCTCCTCCAGCAAGTAGGGCCAGCCCAGGCGAGCTCCCTCCACAGTGTGCCGCCCTCCAGGGCGGGAGGGGAAGGGACATCGGTCCTGCTGGCGCCCAAAGCAGACTGGGGTCTGCGTCTTGGGGGTATTGGTAGAGCCGTCCATCTCTGGCTCATCAGCCTTGTAGGCTGCACAGGGGAGGTCCTTCCCCTGGCCCATGGTGCTCCCGGTTTCGTTTGCTGTGCCCGTGTCCCCAGGATAGGCCTGTTGGGTCAGGAGCAGCAAAGGCATCCTCTGGTAGACGATTACACAGGCTGCTCTTGCTGAGCAGCCCTCCTTGGTTCACTTTCTCCAGTTGCACTGAAGTCTGCTGTGTGAAAGGGGGGTGGGATTCCTGGTAGGAGACTGAGCAGTTATCCTCGGAGCTGGCTGTGGCAGGGCTGGAAGCCCTTTGGAAGGGGAGCAGGAGAGTGCCCTAGTTAGCTTTCCATGTTTTCCAGTTTAAAACAACTGAAGTTTGTACCCTGTGGCCATCTCCTGCCTGCAGGGCTGTCTGGTGGAGCATCTGCTTCAAGACCAGCTGGATGCTGAGTCCTGAGCTCAGATGGAGCCTGGAGCTGGGAGGGCCTGCCTTCCCAGCACTCCCTCCATGACAGAAGTTGGTTTGTTTGGTTTTTTTTTTCTGGACATATAGAGTAAAACCTAATGACTTGTCACAAGTGGGCCCAGAGCCCCTTCTGCTATGCAACCGCTGCTCCAGAGACACGCCTTCTCCAGGCCCCCGGTTAAGTTCGGCAGTGGAAGGCTTTTCCCCTCTCCTTGTCGCGCGTGTGTGATCTCCTGGGGCCCCACCTCTTCCTCACAGCCCCTCCAAAGAGCCTGGCCCATGTGCCTTCTGCACTTTCCCTGGGGGAAGCGAACCCTGCTCCTGTCCTGGTGACACTCGGCTCAGCCCCCGGCGTGCCGCTGCCCACCGCGGGGAGTGGGACAGCCCCCACGTGCCAGTCCCCATGGCTATATTTCTTAACTGGGTTCTTTCCTACTTGCACATCTGGTTACTGTGGGACCACAGCTGGGGGAGGGTGTGGGGCAGCCCCCTGTCACTCAGCAGCCCCCAGGCTCGTCCCTGTGCCTCTCTCCTCCTGTGGAAAGCCTGGGCCCCAAAAGTGCTTTATGTTTTTATAGTTACTTTGTATTGATATGTAAAATAGCAAATTCTGGTCCTTGCCCTGTGGAGTGTGGCTGGAGTCTTATGTATATAATAAAGTACTTTTGCCATAACGGTGGTGGCTTTGGCATAGTTCAGTGGCTTTGGGTCTCACGTCCCTCTGGGACCCGAGTGCTCCCCTTCTGCTGTGTCTGGGAGGGGACCTGGTGTGGGGATCCCACCCAGCCCTGCTTCCCCCCCGGTGAACGCCGAGCTGCACAAACAACAGGGAACAAGTGGGCCAGTGCACGTTGTATTTAATAGAGCCATGCCCACCTCCCCGCCCTGCTGCGGCGCATGGGGCTGCTCCACAGGAACGTCCTCTGGAGCTGCACGGGCTTGGGGACAACCTCTTCAATGGGCACCATCTTCCTGAGGCTGCAACCAACTCATCGTGAGCATCACGGGTTACTCCAAAGCAGCAGCAGGTCTGATGCCTCGGGGAGGGTGTCCACACACCCCTGCTGCGACTCTTTGAGGTACACCACGAAGCTGTGTTTTGCTCTTGGGCTCTGACAAACCTTCCCTGGCTCTGCCTCCACTCTGGAGCAGAGTTACGATTTAGTCCTGACAGCAGTTGAGGTGCTAAAGGATCCAGTTTTCTCCACAAAATAAGTCTGTTATTCCAGCACAGAGGCATCGCTGGCTTCCCCTGCGGATCTGGAGGCGTGCCAGCTTTCGTCAGGCAGCACAGTCGGGTCAAATGGGGAACGCAGCGATAGGGACAGGACAAGAAGGCACTGGGGACTGAGCGCGGACCTGGCGGGGGCAGGAAGAAGTCACTGTTGGAGGGGACCCTGACCAAAGCAGGGTCCTGCTGGTGCGACGTCGAGGCAGTTGTGTTGGGGCAGAGGCAGCGAACAGTCCAAGAACAGCAGCAAAATTGGGCGTAATTTCTATGCTAGAGGCCAAAGCTGGGTTTGTGCGGCCAAGCGAGCATCCTGGCAGGCGGGGTCTACTCCTCCTTGGCCCAGACTGAGCCGCCAGCCTTCTCCTCCAGGTGGGGAATCACCGCCTCGGTGTAAAACTTCTCCAGCTTGGGCACCGTCTGCTCCCAGAAGTTGGCGTCAAACTCCACGGGGACCACAGCCGTCTCCTTGGTGGTGTGCACCACGAAGTCAGCCTGCTGGAAGCCGGCAGCCGCCAGCTGGCACTGGACCTGGGTGAAGTAGGCATGATCCTTCTTCAGGGTGTAGGAGTCCCCGTCCACCTCCAGGCAGAAATCCTTGTCCTTGCAGGCCTCACGCACCGTCCTGTTCCTGTGCTTGTAGGGACACTTCACCTCCAGCAGCCCTAGGGCCTTTCCCGTGGCTGCCTCCTTGATGACACCGTCCGGGCTGGCGGCGATCCACTTCTTCTCCCGGTGAATGAAGAGGCCACAGTCCTCCACCCGCACCGGCTTGCCCACCGCCTGCGACTTCAGCTGCTCATAGGCCTGCACGGCCGCCTTCTCGTTGCGAACCCCCCAGGACATGGCCGGTGTTTGCACCCCGGGGCCGGAGCTCACCACCGCTTTCAGGTAGGACTGGGGCACCTCGTCCGTCTTGCCGTTGGCGAACTTGCTGTTGGCGATCCTGGGGGCCACGGAGGCAGTGATACGGTTCTCCCGCCACTCATACCACTTGGGGTTGCTCCACTGGCCCCGGGTCTCCTTCTCCACCCACGGGATGTCCTGGCTCTCCAAGGGGAGCAGGAACTGGCCCCAGGCCCCGCTTGGGTCAGCTCCAGGCTGCTTCTTCTGCGGACGTGGGTCAGGCCTGGCCGGACCAGCGGCTCCTTTGGCATCAGGTGACTTCTTCTGGGTTGCAGAGCAACCCCTGGGGGATGCTCTCTGCTGGTCCCCGGCATCTCCTAGGGCGCCGCGGGATGCTGCGGGTCTCGGCTGAGAGGAGTCTGGCTTTGCTCCCCGTCCCTGGCCGGCAGCTCCGGCAGCTGGAGCGCTCCTGGATCGGCTGCCCGCAGCCGTGGCCTTGGCGCGAGTGGCCGAGGCAGAAGGCGGTGGCGCGGCGGGGGCGGTTTTGGAGGCAGCTGTGGCTGGACGAGGGGATGACGTGCTGGTGGGCTCCTTCCTGGGTCTCCCCATTGCTGCGTGTCGGTGGGTCTCGCGCTGTGGGCATTGAATAAAATTGAACGTGCGTCCCCAAAACACAAATCTCCCTTTCTTTGGCCCTCCCTGCGCGGGCTGCCGGGGCACCTCTGCCCCCGCGCCTTTTCTCGGGTGACGCCAGCTGGCACACCATGCCGGCTGGTTCCACGGTGCTGGGGTGCGCACCCTGCCTCCCCCCC